CCTTCCCTCCACTTACACCTTTTCCCCCTCAAAAATATGGGTTGCTCATAGATTCAATTCTATATGAGGTTTTGTTACATCCACGATTACCTTTCCCTCTTTTTTGAATAGGAGATTGAAATAATGTTAAAATAATGATGTGTCTTGAAACGTTAGTGACAGAGTAAACGATTACAAATGTGTGTTGTGTCTGAGAGAGAGAGAGAGAGAGAGAGAGAGAGAGAGAGAGAGAGAGAGAGAGGGGGAGGGAGAGCAAAATGTAAAGAGACGAAGGGGATGGAGAGTGGAAAAGCAACATGGAAAGAGAGAAAGGATTTGGGAGGGAGAGGAAGGAAAGAAAAAAGACAGACAAACAGACAGACAGACAGGCAGAAAGACAGACAGACAGGCAGGCAGGCAAACAGACAGAGAGACAGGCAGAAAGACAGGCAGGCACCCATGCAGACAGACCAGCAGACAAGCAGATACACAAATAGACTGACAGTTGACAGACAGACAGACAGACAGACAGACAGACAGACAGACACACACACAGACAGACAGACAGACAGACAGACACACAGTCAGACAGACAGACAGACAGACAGAGCAAAGCACCACCTCCCATACACTCCGTGTGTTACACAAAGTTGCCCTCACCGCATCCACCATGAGCCCCTTAACGTCCATTCCAAATCCCAGCCCCACACTCACAGCTCAGCAATAAGCTAGGAACCAATGCCCTCGGCATCTTTCTAACAACCGAATTGAAGCGACCTTTGAACCCATCCCCAAAGCCTTTAATATCATGAGATCAGACAGCCTTATCTTTCAACACGATGAGAAGATTTATCACCCCCGGAGAGATCAATACGAGGCAATGAGCTCAGTTTCCTGGAGCCAATTCCACGCGGAGTTCGTAAACTATCGTATACTGGGTTGCCTTGGAGCGCTGTAGAACGCAAGTTTTTCTTCAAGCCTGTGAAATTTGTTAGAAGTTTATCTCCCACCCCCTTTTTATAGAAAAAACCCAAGAAAAAACATAAATAAAGAAAAAACAAAACAAAACAAAAAGTACATTTTACAAAAAGGTCTTTGGGTGCCGGAACGCTTTGTGACCTTTTAGAACGGTTGTTATTTCTCGTTAAAGTGGAGTGGGCACTCTGTTGTTATTCCTGAAACAGTCATACATGTAATTTGTTTAGAGTTATTGCATTGTATTACATTATGTTCTATTCTATTCTATTATATTATAGTATATTATATTATATTACTTTACTTGTTGTATTCTATTCTATTATTTGTTCTAATCTATTCTTTTACTTGTTCAAATCTGTTCTATTCTTTTTCACATATTCTATTCTATTCTAATTTCATATCTTTTTCTATTATGTTCTATTATAACATAATTTATTCTATTCTTTTCTATAACTTGTTCTAACCTATCTATTGTTCTATATTCTATTATCACGCATTCTATTCTATTCTTACATGTTATTTGCTTTCTGTTCTCACATATTATTCTACTTTATTCTATTATTAAATCATATTCTATTCTATTATTACACATTCTTTTCTATTCCATTCTTTTCTCTCTCCCCCCCCCCGTCTCTCTCTCTCTCTCTCTCTCTCTCTCTCTCTCTCTCACTCTCTCTCTCTCTCTCTCTCTCTCTCTCTCTCTCTCTCTCTCTCTTGCCCCTTTTAGCTCGCCGTGAAGCATAGGCCATCAACAACATTTCTGCAGTGAAGCCTGTCCTGTTCATCCTTTTCTAGCTGTTCCATGATGTCCCCACCGTTTCCATTTCCGCTTGTACCGCTCGCCTCCATGTCATTTTTGGTCTTCCTTTCTTGCGTTTTCCTTGTGGATTCAATACCAAAGCTATTCCATTCTATTCTATTCTATACTATTATATTCTTACACATTCTATTCAATTCTATTCAATTGTATTCTATTCTGTTCTATTCTATTCTATTCTATTGTATTCTATTCCATTTTATTCTATTCTATTCTATTCTTTTCTATTCTATTCTATTCCATTCTATTCTACTCTATTTCATTCTGTTCCAATTTATTCTTTTCTATTCCGTTCTATTCTATTCTATTCTATTCTATCCCACCGTGCTTCTCGTCCCCCCAGACCTGGATGAGCGGAGGCTGAACCACGACCTCTTTCACAAGAACAGCTACAACAACCTGATCCGCCCAGTGGTGAACGCGTCCGAGTCGCTACAGATCAACTTCTCCCTGGCCCTCAGCGCTATCATCAATGTGGACGAGAAGAACCAGATGGTCATTACCAACGTCTGGTTACAGATGGTAAGATAATGGGTGGCCGTTTTTAGATTATTTCCCATATTCAAGCATCTTGTTCTTGTTCTTGTTCTTGTTCTTGTTCTTGTTCTTGTTCTTGTTCTTCTTCTTCTTCTCCTTCTTCTTCTTCTTCTTCTTCTTTTTCTTCTTCCAAACACACACGAAATTACATTCACACGCACGCACACACACACACTCTCACACAACCACGTTCTCACAAACACTCACATACACACACACAAACAAATACTCACACATAATATACCTACACACACACTCACACAAAAAATATGCCCGCATTTTTATTTTTATAGAAACTGAATAACATCACATTATCATCAGCTTTTAGTTTCTTTTCTGGGGTTTTTTTTTCAGTATTGGTTTGACTACCAACTAACCTGGGACCCGTTAGACTATGGGAACATCACAGGACTGAGGATAAACCACTCCATGATCTGGATTCCTGACCTCGTACTTTTTAACAAGTGAGTACAAAAGTAGTAGTAGTAGTAGTAGTAGTAGTAGTAGTAGTAGTAGTAGTAGTAGTAGTAGTAGTAGTAGTAGTAGTTGTTGTTGTTATACTTGTTGTTGTTGTTGTTGTTTTAGTAGTAATAGCAGTAGTAGTAGTAGTAGTAGTAGTAGTAGTAGTAGTAGTAGTAGTACTAATAGTAAAAGAAGAAGAAAAAGACGAAAAAGAAGATGAAGTAGAAGAAAAAAAAGTAAAAGAAGAAGTAGAACAAAAAAGAAGAAAAAGAGCAGCAACAACAACAGCCACGACAACAGCAACAACACAGTCAAAGTTCATCATGCTTGCTCTCAATGAAGGGGCATAACCGTTTGAATTTTCTAAAACCTTCAAATAACATGGAGTAGTGTCCCTTTATCCCGTTTCATAACTGTTTTACTTTTGGAAACATTTATTTTATTTCTCTTTGTAGCCTCCCGTAATCTGCACTCACACAGATAATGATATTTAAAAAAAAATAAAAAAATAATAATAATAATAATAATGATAATAATAATAGTGATAATAATGAGATCCTTCATTCTTGAGGGAAAGGGGGGGGGGGGGGGATATATTTTTGTAAAATTCTGTCTTGGAACTCAAACTCACACTTTGTAAGTGCATGGAGAAAAAATCTGAACCAGTGCACCACCTCCATATCTGCCCTCTTTATTTACCACCCCCCCCCTCCCCCCGTCCTCCCCCCTTTCCCCATGAAAAATATGAGTAAACATTTAAGAAAAATAAAATGAACAATAATAATTGAAAACAAATACAAAATAAATAAAGAAATACATAGATTACATTCAAATATTGAATAAAAATACAAATACAAATTTGAAATAAATAAACTTAATAATTTGATCAAATAAAAAATTAAATTAAAAAACGAAAATATAAAATGAATTTTTAAAATGTAGATTAAATATACATGGATAAATTTAAAAAAAACAGTAATAGTTAAATTGAAACTTTACAAATATATAGATTAAATACAAATAGATAAATAAATACATATATTATACAAAAACGGTACATATTTCCTTTCAATTTTCAATTGAACTTTTTTTCTGTCACCCTTTCTCTCATGTATAGTTGGATGTCGAGATATATTAATATGTAGTTTTCGGCCAATGGCTAGGTAGGTGGCTTCTGATGTAGCTAGAAATGTTGTTCTTTTGGAGGACCCGGTTGACACGGTCCTGGGATTTTTAATTAAATTTTTTTTTTGTGGTCTACCCCTGGCTTTGTGTCCCGTTTCTTTTGTATCACATTTTTATACTCAAACAGCTCCCGCCTCTCTAAAAAAACGTATTAGTGTTGAAAGGTGTTTAAACTTTCGTTGTTTATTTGTTTTTGTTGTTGTTGTTTTTTGGGGTGGGGGTGGGGTTCATGCAGCTGGCTTATTTGGACGTATTCTCATAAGGTGACGGAACCGCTTAGTCCTTCAATATTGAGTAACATGCTTCATAATATCAGCTTCATCCGTAAATTGGGTTTGTCTCGAAAAACGTTCCATTCGAAATCAAGCGCTTTTCACAACTGAGTAAACGTAAACCTGAGTCTTCCATACTTAGTTAATTTGACCTAGTACACAGATCCAGGGTCTACACTCTCGTAGAAACTCTTTATATAATAATTGTAATATTGTTATTATTATTATTATTATTATTATTATTATTATTATTATTATTATTATTATAATAATAATAATAATAATAATAATAATAATTATTATTATTATTATTATTATTATTATTATTATTATTATTTAATAATAATAATAATAATAATAATAATAATAATAATAATAATTAATAATTAATAATAATAATAATAATAATAATAATAATAATTATTATTATTATTATTATTATTATTACTATTATTATTACTACTACTATTACTGTTATCATCATAGTTTGTTGTTTTTTTCTTGTGGGGGGGGGATGAGTTTGTTTTAGCCTCATGAACACAAGAAGGCTTTAATTTAACTTATTTTAATCTAGGATAGTTTCGCTCCTTATGAAATCTCTCAGCTGTGTGACGTTGTAACTTTCCTCAGTGCGGATGGCAGGTTTGAGCCCACCTACATCCCCAACTGTGTGGTGGAGTCCTCGGGGAAGATCACATTCATCCCGGCTGCTATCTACACGTCATCATGTACGATTGATGTTGAGTATTTCCCCTTTGACCAACAGGTACGATTGGTAGAAGAATTCTTTGTTATTGTGTTTTTTTTTCTTTTCTGTATTTTTTCCTTGCATTATATTGTGGTAACACAAATTTCCCTCAGAGTATTAATTAGCTGTCTGTTTTGGGTTCTTCTTCTTCTTCTTCTTCTTCTTCTTCTTCTTCTTCTTCTTCTTCTTCTTCCTCTTCCTCTTCCTCTTCCTCTTCCTCTTCCTCTTCTTCTTCTTCTTCTTCTTCTTCTTCTTCTTCTTCTTCTTCGTCTTCTTTTTTTAAATTTATAAATCATTACCTTTGATGAGAATTACACTTTTCAAAGACACAATTTTAAAAAGAATTATACAGTGGAAGGAGGATCACTGTCTTTAGGGACCGTTCAATGATAAAGACGGGTAGCGCCGTAGAGGTAAGGCTACCAGACTCTTAATAGTAAGATTCTGGGTTTTGGAGTTTGAGGCTCGCTCAGCTATTTTCCCTTTTTCTTTCTTTCTTTTTTTTTCTTTTTTTTTTTTTTTTTTGGTAAGTGTTTTGCGGCGCTCGCAACTTTACAACATGGTCTAGTGAATGTTGTTCCGGTGGCCGTCGAAGCCTATTCTAATCTATTTTATGATCACCAAGGGATCTGAAACGTGGGCATCTTGCACACGTTACTTACGAGATTGTTTTGCCTTTATCCGAGAAGGCTAGGTGTTATATCTGGCTTACCAAAATATCACGAGTGTGGCTGAAATAAAGCAGAAAGAAGAAGCGAAGAAGTAGCAGGAGAAATGCAGCAGAAAGAGGCAGGGACCCAGAGGAGGGGGCAAAATGTGTGTGGGTGGAGAGGGCGGGGAGTCAAAGTGGAGACTAAAGTAGACATGTACATTATTGTCAGCTTTAGTTTTCTTTTCATATTGAATTTAAATGTGAGTAATCTATAATTTAGTTTCTGAGTACACATGCATGGGTTTTTACGGTCCTGAAATGCCAAGAAAAATGTGCCTCTAGGAAAATAGATTATTGTCTTATCTTATTTTAAATACCCGTAAAGTGCTGCAAACGGTGTTAAAAGGGTACGATTTCACACGTATATTTTCAAGAAGACGGATGATGCAGAAGATGTAGGGGCGGAAGAGTGCACAACTGTACTGAACGTGGAATTAAACAACATTCCCGTGTGCATCAGCATCCTCGCGCAGTTCGCTACCTTAGACTTACAAAACTCCATCTGACTTTTTTTGCCCGTTCGAGTTACTGTGTTGTCAAAATGTTAGTTTTAAATGTAAAAAAACCCCAAACAAACATAATGTAGGTAGAAATGTCGACAACTTTTCCCACCTGATTAAAAAATGTATATTATTAGGCTTACTACATTAATTGAACAGGTAGTCGACAATCCACCACAACAGACAACTAGACTCCACCCCTGCTCCCCCCCCCCCTCACCGATATACGAAGTCATTGATGTTTATCGCCTCTATACAGGAATGCGAAATGAAGATTGGGTCGTGGACCTTCGAAGGCAAGACGCTGGTGTATCAGCTGGTGGGCAATCGTAAGATTGTGCTCACGGACTACATGAAAAATGGCGCCTGGGACATCATGGATTGCCCAGGCAACATAACCACTATAGACGACGCCATGACGGGGCAGGTTCGTGTCTTCACACACTTTTGGTTATAGTTTTTGCTTGGTTTTGTATTTCTGCATTAAAATTATTTTTTTGGGTTTTTGTTTTGTTTTGCTTTCGGGTTTTTTTTTCATTTTATTTTGCCTGTTATTTAATTTTATTTGCTTTTTAAACCACTGTCACCTTTACTTGTTTGTTCAATATATAGAGTTGCTGTTATTATTATATCATTGAGATTTTAGATTTACTACAAGTTTTTTGGTACTTGCAACACAAGACACATAGTATATAGAGTCAGGATCCCTGCTCTTCTAGGAGCCATAATAACAGTATCATTAGGGTTGCGTGACGTCATGGGAATTAAAAAGCTTTGATTTATTTTAAGGATATGGGTCAAAATGTCCCTTTTACCTACTCAATCTACATTGTACTACGTCTCAGCTAGGGATAGGGGAAGTATTACAGCGATTTGGGAAACGGAAATTCTGATATATTGATAGACCATCCATCTTCTTCCCAACACCATGATTAAAATTGATTTATGTAAATTAAGCCTAATTTTAATCTCTTGCCCTAACGTCAACTAGTTACCCCAAATCCTTAGCCTACGTCTCAGATGGACGAGAGATCCTGAGCTTTAATCTCAATAACATCAGAAAATATAGAATACGGTTACGTGTCTCCAGAACTAGCGGTAATGCGTTCTCATTAGGGCTGGGCAATGAGTCGCTGTAGCAGAATCCGGATAATATGTTAGTACACTTCTTCAGCAAATAATAGGATTTGAAACGCTTCAGCAAACGGGTTAGCATCACTTCAACAAATTATGGGTGCACACACTTCGAAAAACGGGTCAGGAAAGAAGGTTAAGATTCTAAATTCTGAAAAATGTTTCATTGAGAATTATCCGGTTAACCTTGTAGATTATCCGGATTTTGCCCACCTCTAGTTCTCATAGGCTTACTATGTTATGACATCCAAGCCTGTGCACTCTGACGTAACTTCTGTGAACTATGGGATGCATTATATTACTATGTTTTGAACCACAACAAGGGAAAGCAGGGAAAGGTTGCACGTGCACTTAATTAACTGTAGTGAGACTGGAGTTTTGCAGTTCATATTTTGCGAGCCCATGGTGCAGACAAGAGCAACGAGCTCTTTATATGGAGAGAAACGAGCAGCGGCTGTGACAGTGTCCTGTGAAGGATAATAATAATATAATTATTTCGATGGTTCAGTATACATGTAATCATATGAAACCCGAATGACACATTTTCTAAAATTTGATTTTTTTTGGCGTCCGATCTTCTCTTCAAAAGGATAATAATAATATGTGATGGAGAAAGATCTGTCGCACGAAAAAACAAACAGAAGTCGGTTTGAAAAATGTGTACGGGTTTCTTATACTAAACCTTTGATTTCAAGACGATCTAAAGAGAAAGGTATCACATCTAAATTGCCCAAGGTTTTATTTTTTGTTATCGTAAGCCTCTCGTAACATTTAATTTTGATTTGGAACTGGAATATATAAAAATTGTCATCGTCACCTTCCATCTAGATACCCCTGCTTTTGTCACAAATAGGCAAACATCTCTTGAGTTGTCATTCTAGTGGTTAGGCTACCGGACTCGTAATCGTGAGACTGTGTGTTCGGGGGTTCGAGGCCCAGCTCGTTCCGACGTTGTGTTCTTGGGAACGGCACTTTACACGAATTCCCCACTTGGGTCAGTCCTTTCGGAGATGGACGCTAAACTCAGAAGTCCTTCCTCTTAAATAACTTAACAGTGTTGATGTGGGCGTTAAACCTATACCATCTCACCATTTTCACATCCTCCGGAAAATTGTTACATGCACCTGTCTGTACAGTCAACCTTAGACTTCATAACTAGCAGCTGTTTCTGTACACTAGTCAATCGATCAGACGTATATTTGTCAATATCTTCGCGCTTCGACTTCCTGAGAGCCATCCGTTGTTTACGTGCACGCTGTCAGCTGGTTGCTAAGCCAACTGGCAACAGATAGAGAATGACGTAACGTCAGCCTTACCTGCTTTAACAGCCACTGGTCAAGACAACCACCTGTGCGTACAAACAACTTCTCACCGCTGTTCAAGAAAATTTCGTGGTCTTGAAGTATGGTGTTGGACTCTTATTCAATAGGCACTGAGCTCGAAAAATGTTCTTCTCCCAAATGTTCCCGTTTCACTTCCTGTCTGCTCTCCAGCTATGTTCTTTCACATGTTTTCATCTCCACTTTCTCCACACCCCTTTCTCCGCTCTTCTGGGCTTTTGCCTCTTTCTACTATTGCTGCTCCTGATTCTTGCTACTGCTGCCTTTCCAACACATCCTTAGATCTTCAGGTATGTAAGATCGAATTTCTAACCTTCTGGGGTAAGGGCGAAAATAATATCGGAAGTCTCGTGTGCAAGTTGGGAACATTAAAGATTCCTGGGTGGTCCTAACTAAAATCGATAAGAGTAAGATTCGACCGCCATTTGGGCGAAATTCAAAAGTAAACAATATTCTAGCAATGAATATTTTTTTTATTTTAAAAAACCTTGAAAATACTTGACGTTAAAACAACCAATACATTAACTGTGTCCCGCACCCCCATATGACTTTATGCAGTTGCGAGCGCCGTAAAACTCATACCAAAACGTAAAAGAGCAACGGAAAATAAACCAAACAGAAATCAAAACGAACAGAAAACAAAACAACAATAACAACAACATCAACAACAACAGATCAAAATGAAGACAATCACATTTTACAAACGATCACTTCTCACTTACTTCACGTCTTTCTCGCTTATAATGACACTGTACAGGATGTCCTCTTGCCACAGACAAGCACGTTTTCCTGGACAGTGGCTGGTCATCTTGGCCAGAATCAGCTGTATTGGGTTGATAGGATATGTGTGAGAGGGAGGATGTATTAGGGAAGAGTACGAGTGTATATGGGTGTGCACATGTGCGTGCGTAAGTGTGTGTGTGTGTGTGTGCATGTTTGTGTGTGTGTGTGTGTGTGTGTGTGTGCGTGTGTGTGTATGTGTGTATGATGAAACACCAAAGCAATGTGCCAGGATCTGGACTATAAAGATGTCTTATTTTATTTTATCTTTTCTTATGTTATCGATATCATATTCATTTTTGTTAAACAGAGTTTTGGAGAGCGCGATTTTTTTCTTTCTTTTTTATCCAAAAGACTATTGCCTTGACCTCGGCAGCGTCGAGATTTTGAGTGGGAAGAAACACGAGTTCATTCTCTAAAAAAGAGACCGGGAGACCGATTTAGGTGCTGCATGAAGCTATCTAAACAATGTCGTGGCTTACCATTCAATAACACGTTGTTTACTTGGTTCTGTCCTTACTGGCGTTAACCCTTGTAGAGGGAACCAGACATCCTGCTTACACGGAAGCGATCAATTTAGCAGCAGCGGCAGTGACAGCAGCGGTAGTGACAGCAGCAGCATCTGCTGCTGCAAAGTACGTACGTCACAGAGGTTGGCATGGCAAGACGACCTTCTCCACGTTCAATCTGCCAAGAGGATGGTCTCGTGTTAGGGATACAATATGTGCCTCGATGTAGTGGAATCAGACGCTCGTCAATTTTTTGTGCCTATGGGGTTATTGGTATCATCTTAAAGTCTGTTCATTTGCATTCCTTTTGGTGAAAAAAAATACCCACCTATCTTGAATAGAAGTTGAGATATTTGCAATTGAAGGACGTCAGGGTCGCCTGGTTTCAGAGATAAAATTACCGAGAAAATGACCCCCAAAGCTTTGTAACTTCCATAGCCTGGGAGTCCTTGGAAACTGAAAATTTACATTTTTGTGCCTTTCATCAATGTTTTTCTGTAAAATCCACACAAAAATGGAGGTTAAAGGTGTTTAGCCAAAAAAGAGCATTTGATGAAAATGAAAAGCCAGTCAGCTAAAAAAAAGTCAATTTCTTTGATTTAATGATTTTGACAATCGCCTGATTTCACCACGATGTCTATATAACAATACCATCCGTCGCCCTGGACAGTAGGGATGGGATCGTGATATTTTATTTGAGTCGGTGGTTGGAGAGATGGAAAAGGGGGGGGGGGGGACATGTGAAGTAGCCAAGTGAATTTGTGTGGCATTTTGTTGAAGTCAGGTGTGCTTGAAAATACAACGAGATCAACTTTTTTTGCCCGTCGTGCAATTTTTATCGATTTTCATTTTTACTCAACCTCTTTAATGTCCATAAAGGCATACTAGTGTGTGTATTTTCTTTATATTAAAAAACGCTGATGAAAGGAACGCAAAAAAATGTAAACTTACAGGTTTCCAAAGACTCTGAAACTTTGGGTGCCACTAAACCTTTGCAGTTATTTTCTCGCTAATGTTTACCTCTGATACCAACCAACCACACCTCTTTTAACTGCAATTATTTTGACATGCATCTGTTCAAGACATGATAGTATTATTCAATCGAAATGAAGAGGGATCAAGGGCTGGTGAAGGGCCTCATTTAAAAGATGAGAAACACCCAAGCGTCTCATATAGCTTCTCCCAGTCTAGCCAACCGCACCTACTCGTGGTGATCTCTGTCTGCACTGACGTGGCTCTGGCAAATGGCGAATCGTTGGCGCCAACAAACCAACCCCTCTTTGCCAGGAGTGGTAAAATCAACAGGCTGGGAGTAGGTGTGACCCCACAAGGTGCGGAGGGCAGAACCCACCGGCGCGTGGTAGACGCTATGCCCCCTACCAACACACTCTCACTCTCCCTTGAGTGAGTGTCCTCCTCTGCTACCCTCACCTACTTTTTCTACGCACTCCCTATGGTTGGCCTGTGCTCTACCTTTGGCCTAGTGCATCTCCATGGATTCTCCTGGCCCCTGCAAGGATGAACACACCACTGGGTGGGATAGGCCTCTGGGACATGGCATGCCCAAACATGGACGTCTACGTACCGACACAAAGGATCCAGGACGTGACAAGCGGCTCGTCTGTGTGATTTTAGCTCAACAACGCTGCCAGGGTCAGACCAGATTAAGTTGAACCCCCACAGCCCGCCAGGAGACAGCGGTAGCGGGGAATGGACCACAGTGGATCGTGCCTTGACATAATGTAAAATGGAAGCCAGTCCCTGCTCAGTGCGTTGCCCCACTTCTGTGAGAGACAAAACTTGTAGCTCAGAAAACCCAATGCCAGATGCAACGAACTGCTGGTAGATCACAGACCTGGGTGGGAAGAAAAGCCACAGGCTCCCCAGCAAATATGGCAAAGTATCGAAATGAAGACACATTTTGATAGACAAGCTTTAAGACATAAGCAATATCTTCATTTCCCAAAACTCGACAAGAGCACAACTCCATCGTATCGTGACACATTAATTTGATAAAGACGTCCACTTTGAAACCTTTATAAATCCAGTTCGAGCACGTCACAAATACCCCAAGGTTTGTCGTGGATAGCTAAAAGAAGACTCCTGGATCAGTAATAATAATTTATTAAAACTTGGTAAACAGGAGCTATAGGTCCACCTTTAGTTCATCTGGACCACAGAGGCTCCTTGTTTACATTTGTGAGGCACGTGGTGGAATCAGGCTCTCGTCAAAATAACCAAAGTAAAAAAACTTGCATTTTTTCCTCAGGTTAGTGATTTTTTTTCATGCCTCTAAAAAGAACTCATATCTGTATGGCTTTTTCTGAAAAGCGTTGATTAAAAGCACAAAAAATGTAAATTTTCAGCTACCACGGACTCTTAAGCTAAGAAAACAACTAATCTTTGGCGGCCATTTTCTCACTAATTTTATCTCTGAAAACAGGTGACCCCCACCCCCTTCTTTTTCAAATATCTCGACTTGTATTCAAGATACATGGATATTTTGTTCCCCCAAATAAAGACAAAAGAACAAAATTTAAGATGATACCAATAACTCTACATGCCCAAAAACTGACGAGAGCCTGATTCCACCACGCTGCCTCACAATTGTTTTTATCCATATTGGCGTCACGTCCAAACAGCAGGGGGTTATTATGCATGTTATTTTATTTGGACCTAGACAGATGAAGTCAGGGAAACATTAACCACCCACGGCTTCCCCCTGACCAAAGCTCTCCGGTTGCCGACAGAGAGACGTCTCTTTCTTCCCGCGACACTCAAAAGAGTGTAAGCGGCGGATAAAAGTAAAAGTAAAGTAAATTGTATTGGTATCTATATGTGATATATTTTTGAGGGTGTGCTGACAAAATGAGTTATTTCTCGCTTTCCAAAAATGGAGATATTGGCTAAAAATCGACATTAGGGTCAAATTTGAACATGTTCTGTTAATGCCATATTCTATACTATGACCTGCCTTTTATAATTTATTATTTATACATTTACAATGTAAAAACTTTACCTATAAGGGCGATGTATCTATTTCCTTAAGGCTTGAATCTGAGAAGTAGCGCAGTTTGTCAGCAAGCTTAACATTTGATCATGTCGTGTTGTCGTTTCCACAGCCGAAGGAGATCATGATTTTCACTCTGGTACTGAGGAGAAAGACGCTCTTCTACACAGTGAACTTGATCATCCCCTGCTTCCTGCACGCCATGGCCTGCCTCTGTGTCTTTGTCCTGCCCGCCGACGGTTGTGAGAAAATCACACTGGTCATCTCAGTGCTCGTCTCCATGGCCTTTCTGCTGCTCGTCTTGCAAAAGGTTTGTCTTTTTGTTTGTTTAAACGTTTATATTATTATGTTTGTTTGTTTCTGTTTGTGTTTCTTTTCGTTTTTCGTTTGTTTCTTTCTGTTTGCTTGTTGTCTATTTGTTTCTGTTTTTTGGGGGTTTTTTTCTTTGTTTGTTTAGATTGTAAAGCGCATAGGGTTTGAGGTAGAGCTGGAATTTTGCGTTATACAAATGTTATTATATTATCTATTAATTTTTTAAATATTTTTTTTTTTGGGGGGGGGGAGGTGGAGGGGGTTGGTAAGTGTTTTACGGCGCAAGTGAATTTAATTGATAACACTGAAGAGTGCTGATATAGAGCTGATATTAATTAAATAGTATACCTCATTTACCCCACGTAATTGTTTTCTACCCTGATTTACAACACTTCTCCTAAGCATATTTTTGGTGCATACGTTACGTTTACTCGGCTAATTTATCTGATCTTCTTATTCAGAAAAATATAAAATATTATTTATCGTGTTAAAGAATCGTGCAAAGAGGGCGTATGAAGTAAAAAAGAATATTTTCGGAGAGTAATCTTGATATCATTAAGGAAAGTGTGGACTCGAATAGTTTGAATATTCATAGAGGTATATAGTCGAGCCAGTTATACGGATCGTTGAATCGACGAAAAAGATACTAAGATCATTTGTCGGAATATAATATAATACTTATTTTATTTCGTTATTTTTGATTTTGTTATTGTTCTTACTTTTTTCTCCAGATTTTGCCACCGTCAATGACCATTCCCCTGATCGCCAAGTACTTTGTGTTCAGCTTCATGATGAACGTCCTGGAGATTGTTGTGACCGTCATAACTATCTTCGCCAATCACAAGACTCCTCGTACTGACGTCATGCCCAAGTGGGTCTGTTGGCTGTTCTTGTACAAGTGAGTGAGACACAGAGTAGTAAACTAACACAGCAGTTACTATTGTTACTGTCTGTCTTTCTGTGTGTTTGTTTGTTTTTATGTGTGTCTATGTGTCTGTGTGTTTGTGTGTCTGCGTGCCCGTCTGTCTCTCTCTCTTTCTCTTTCTCTATCTTGCTCAGTCTGTATGTCTGCCTCTGCCTCTCTCTCTCTCTCTCTCTCTCTCTCTCTCTCTCTGCTGTATTTGTTTGTGAGTGTACAATCTGCGGGTAGTCTTCGTCTGTAGGGTAATAAACAAAGTTACATCCAGCCAAGTACTACATCATAATCAAAACAGCGTTAAATTTTCCTTAGCACATTTTATTCAGAGTTCTCTGCATTTAGAACTGAGCCTGTCCTAAAACCTCAGCGCAAAAAGGACAAGAGACAAATTCAAAATAATTTTACAGTAACAGCAGGGAAATAATGGAATTTTACAAGCTTTCATTATATTTATTCAGAAAACAATACTGTCATTGACATTGTCAAGAAATTGAAACTTAAGATGAAAAATTTCAAACATATTTCATTATCAGGATCCACGTTAGTCTATAATATATATATGGATACTGCTCTCATAACTGGGGCATCGTGTTGGAATTACAGGCTCTCGTCAAAATAATGAAATCAAAGAAACCAGCATTTCTCTGGCCGTAGGACAAATTTTTTAAATTAGAATTTTCCTTTTCTGTCCATTGAAGAACTCATTTCTGTGGA